GCAGTCACGCAAATTTAGAGAGATACGACCTAAGGGATATATTTCAATATTGCCAGAGGCATTAAAATTGATTCATATTTCGAATAATAATAGCACAATACGTGATGCTGCACGATTTATTTCAAATAATTAAATTGATCGTTTAATTTTAATGCGTTTATAACGTGAGATTATTAAACTTAATTGTATGAAAATACAAGTCACCCCAATTGTTCTTAAAAGTTAATAATCTTATAAAAGAAGAGAGAAATGGTTTTAAATCTTCTAGAATATTGCGATAATAAAATATTATTTTGCATTATGCTTGTCGTCGTTTTTGTAGGCACGTAAAATATCTAAAATCTTGGATGACATGTTACCCCTTCAAAACTAGCATCTTTAAACCTGGGAAAATTGCCAGTCCCGCGTATCTCAGAGATATATTTTGATAGTTAAAATTAAAACCTATTCTTGTATCGTTATTCTTGAACAAGAGAAAAACAAAAATTATGTGTACGCAAATATCTCTGTTTACGCTTTTAACATAGCAAAACATTTCTGCAGTTATAATTTTTCTATGGAAGAGATATATGTCGCATCATCGCATGTAACGTCATTCATATGGCATTATATAAAAGGATTATATCATTATCTGCGATGTGCGATCAAATGTATACTGCAAAACTGGATTTCCGGACAAAACAGCAATCTTACAGCAATTTTTTTATGCCTATTAAATGTTTTGACGTAAACAATAGAATGTATAACTATAATTATCAGCATAAGTTACTGCTAAATTTGTAGCTCATAATTTAAATCGCAAGTAAAATTTAAATTATGCTTATAAGCCTTCTGTTTTTAAAATAACAAACTTGCCTTAAAATAAACATGTTTTATTACTAACAATGTTTATTCCTAACAAAAATTGATGTTGATGTTGATCAAAAATAAACCAGCTATGCAATCTCTATTAAACGGTTATAAAATAGCAAGCATAATAATGTATGGTAATTATGATACGATACGCATGC